GGACGTACAAAGAGACTGATTTTGTGGACTTATTCACAGCTACAACATGCATGAATACTGAAACCCACCAAATGATTAAGTAATATCAAATCACAATTTGTGAAGTTGCAACTAATATTGCAATCGAAATTGCTTCATATCACATAGGCAATCGTTTTGAATATATACAGGGCTCTTTCAGCTAAACTGACTGAATTGTTGAACTATCACAAATACTCTCACGGTCACCAGTGCACACTCATAACTCTGCACTGGCTCCAACTTCCATCAAGTCCATACATGTGTTGACCATCAACCCAGATCAGTTAATATCAGTCGGTAACCAAGAATAAACAGTGTTATTCTAGTTACACTAACCAAACTATGGAAACCAATGTAAGTCACGTAAATTAATGACGTTTTCATAATTGAGATCACGAAAGGATATTAGCTAAATCGTCGTTAAATATCTGGACGCACTCCAAAGCCGTTTTATCCAAGTACATAACTCCTGATCTTTGTAAGTGCACGTCTTCACATCTGAGAATATTTACTAATGATCCCCTTGTTCTCACTAGTAACTAGCTTCAATATGTAATACTTGTAGTTGTAGTGGGAAACCGTGACACATGGAATGCAATCACGCGAGGTGTGGGACAGTTATCCTGCTCAGGAAATGGATGAAATTTGCACAATATTGTTGATCTAATCAAAGTTCGACGTTAACACGTTTGGATGCCTACTTAAATGTCTATATGTTAGGCTATCTCTCTGAGGGCGGATTGTGTCTTCTGGTACATGATAATGGATGCGCAACGATGTGTCTTATCATACTGTGACAAAACAGCCCTTCAATACTGACAGGTATTCAGTGGTGGTCTACCTCATACCAGTTTGTGAGTTAAATATGTAGTTCCAGAAACTTCTGGGATGTTCACACTGATAGATCCTTGAGTAAGGACAAATTTTATGCTTCTTCGCTTCTAAAGGCTGATTGAATTCTACTAATGGGATCACTTGAAGCTCGATCAACACTGAGAAGACTAGATAAGTGTGATTTTGACCACTATTCATTGGTCAATTAATGAAGACTACTTCTTACTGGAAATTATGATGAACACTTACCAGTTTCGTTGTATCAGTTACATGTTATTATCGATACCCTGTCAATCATTTACCAATCGACTATACAACTACCGAAACACAGTTCAATTTTGATTACCACTGCTACGTTCTTAACATATTCGCATTACTTTAGGGGTTGTGGAGATTGTTAAGTTTTTGATATAGATCATGAAGCGATGGATGTTAGACCACCACTAAAAGCCTGGAAGCACTGGATTTGCATTAGTTAGGTCATTGTTTCTCATTAAAACTATGGTAAACTATCGTGAAGCTAGACACAACTGAGTACAGCTTTGGTGGTTAGATATTTATCACTAGTAACAGAGAACTATGATCATATGACATAGTGAACCAACGTTAATGAGAAAGTTAAACTGTTGCATTTTAACCATTTGGTCTGCAGATGGCTAACTCATCATGTCACCCAAATTCCTGGTTCAATTAAAGTGGATTATTTTATCAGTAAACTCCTCCAGTGACAACTTGTGTTTGGATAGATCAATCATTATATTAACAAGAAATCGTCTGAAATATGCTACTCAGAATCCATGAGCCGGAATGTGTTTGGTTATTCGACTGGTTTCTAATTGTTCCATCCGTATGTGTTAGCTCAGAATATCACAGTGATTCACAGTTACTTTCAATGTTACTTTTCTACTATTCCATAAACATTTGATATTCCGTACTAGGTGCACACTTTCACACTTTACAAGCCTAATATTTATGTACTAGTTAACTAAACTACCTAACTTTACTATAACTCAATTTGGAATATATATTCTATTTACATTCAAAATTCCATAGATATGAAGTGAAAGGATCAAAGTTCATATCATTTGTGTTATTTTACTATTTTGTGGACCACTTTAAGTTGGTTGAATATTTGAGGTTTCTGTGTTGTGAGGTGAATACTGACTCGATTTTGTGTAATACATCGTGTGAATCGTTGAAAATTAAGTTGACAAAATATCAACACAAACATTAAACACCATACATTACCTATAGGATATTTATTAGATATATGTAGATATTGTTCAACTCATAACGTCTCATCAAAGAAGGACTTCAGTTCAACAACTATGAGAGATTCAAAATCAGTGGATATTACTTATAGTCCTAGTATGAATCTCCAGAGTAGTATCCAACCATGATCACCTATAAAACCATGTCGAGTCCTTAACACTCAGATCATCAGGTTAGCCTTTCACAGTTCACATTTCTAACTTCGGTTGATTCTGAATATTGCACTACCATCACCCACTACAAGTGGTGAACTCCTCTAAATATTGACGACCACAACGATTTGTTATATTTAACGGTTACTGTTATTGACAAATTATACATCAGTGTGAATCCATGGTTTAGAGGTAAAATTCAAAAAGCTAACGAAACACTAATCCAATGCTGAACATTTGAATGACTCACCTTCAAAGAAGAGTACCTAGTCTCTACAACCGATTACCTACCCGTTTGCTTTTATACTTTTCTCTTACAATGAGATTATGAGTTTCATCCAGTCAACATATCATGAATGTGATCAGATTCATAATGCCTGTTTAGAGTGGGATACAAAGATCAGCTTATTACATACAATGGACGTGTGGGACATTAAGCGCAATTGAATAAACTAACATGAGGTTACCAGTTACATACAAGCACGCACATGCATGTCCTCAGAGATGAATATCCATGAAAGGGATATAGCTGTAGTAAATATCATATAATTCACAAGATTTGATGAGAATTATGATCTAAATATTGTACATCCACACCTATACTTCGAATTCTGGGGTGCGAATCAGGTATATACCTAAAAACTGTTCATTAAATCCGTAAGGAAATATAATGAACAGTTAAAGTTTTAAAGGGATACTACTGAAATCACAAGTAGATTAAATTTCACAGATCAATGTTAGTACATGTAGAATGAACCATCCTTTTGTCGGATATTCAATAAATGTATAATAATTTTATAAGTTGAGATCATGAGTCAGTTGAAGCTATATCACTATGGAAAACGTGGAAGCACTGGACGACCGTATCGTCCTATTGTGGGACTCCTCAACAGTGCACACCCACGGTCCCGTCTGGCGAGACTCGAACCCAGGACATATCAATTTCGCGCGTCGGCGCTTAACTATTAGACCACTGACCTGGCTTTCATAGGTTTAATACCCGGTATCCGCGAACATTTTTCTGTTCGTTTAGTGTTTGATTGCTGTATATAATAGCTTGATGTTACAAGTTATATCATTTCAGTCGTATAGCAACACTGTATAGCATTCCAACTTACTGGTTGTAAAATCAAATAAATTGATAGTTAGGGCTTGGAATGAGATCATCAATTTTCGTCCACCAAATGAACTTGGATATGTAAAAAAAATACTTGATACCACAAACACTACTTAATTACCTTCTTACGTACGCCTGTTATCCTACATGGAAGAGCATAGGCCACTTGCCAGCATCTACACGCAGCTCTGTCCTGATCAATCCTCTCCAGTTCTTTCCATTTGCTATTCATCCTTTTCACGCAAGGAAATTTATAATCTGAATATTACAAATACACACACAAACACCTATAGTCCTGATTTTCAGGTACTAATCGGGTATTTACCTATACATATTGATTGGAAAATAAATTGATAGTTAAAGCTTGGAATGAAATCCTCTGTGGAAATCTAGCTCTTACGGTATTCATTCACTAAATGAACCTAAATATGTACGAAAATGCTTGACACCGCGAACATTGATGAAACTAAGAAATTGAATGTGCTAAATATTCATGGATATGAATTTTAGATCCTTTTACTGTGAAAAAAAGACATGCAATGATTAGGGCTTGACATTATACTGTACTTATATCTATATAAGTAGTATATAAAGATGGTCAGGTATAGAGTGTATTTCATTGGAAGATCGAAAGGGGAAGAACGGGAATGGAAATCAATAGGTATGGAAATGCTTGAACAATGAAATGTGGGATGATGGACTGGTATTTGCAAAAGGAACGGTCAAGTTTAAGAAAATCGATTGATATTTTGCAAATTAACTATTTACTGTATGAGTTTAGGGGTTGTGGAGACTGTTAAGTTTTTTATTGACTTCATGAAGTGATTGATGTTAGACCACCATTGAAAACCTGGAAGCATTAGACGGCCGTTTCGTTGAGGTTAGACATTGACACCATTGGAGGCCAGCTCAGTGGTTCAGTAGGTTAAGCGTTCACGTGCGAGACTGAAGACCGTGGGTTCAAATCCCGCGAGCGGAATTGTGGATGCGCACTGCTGAGGAGTCATGAGTCATTCGAAGCTCGACTACCATGGAAAACCTGGAAGCACTGGATAGCCGTCTTGTCCTAGTATGGGACTCAGCTGCTCTTTGATCATAACTTGATGAAAATAATCTCCTTAAGCCTCCCATGAACTGAGGTTCATATATTACATTACTTATGCTGTTATCAATCATAGTCCGTCGTTGAATACAAATCATTTGCCAAAATTTTCAGTCTGATTTCACCTGTCTAACCAGTTTACTCTAAATCCAACAGGGGATTTATGACAGTTTTACAGTCATTTCATACTTCAAATTCATCATATAGTTTTGATGATCCAGTAAATACTGACTAATCTATGTAAACTATTGAATTGATAATCTCACTTTTGGGATAGACAGAACATATTCTTAACTATTTGATTACTTTTTTCAATCAACCAGATGACAGACATCACCGTTTGTCTTCAATAATGTTCATGTGAATTCCAAGGAACTCATGAAAACATTCAAAACTCTTTGGTCAATATATAAAATTTATTGATAAAACTACCTAATACAAACTAAACAGAATCATAATATCAATAAGTACTACCTATCACGTAGTCTTGGTTTCTTTAGGCTGGCACTTGATCTTCCTTATATGCTGAAATAGTGAATATTTCAATGGAACCTGGACCAAATTGTTTTGTCGGTGCATAGATACCACCATATGATTGTATACCGAATCGTGATAGTTGAGTTATATCTAAAGATGGTAAATCAAATTTCGGTTCTCCACGAAAGTATGGTTTGAATGTACTAAATGGTAATTTTATTTGCTGACGTTCTCCAGATGTCTATAAAGATTTCATAGAAAACATAATGAATTATTCTATACAATTGAATATCACATTACCTCGAAAAACGACTCATATGATTGACAAGTGAATATTTCTGAACAGTTTCCATAGAAGATCAATTTGAAATTAGAATTTTGACCTTGTCTATGTAGATCAATCACAACACCTGTATATGCTGACAAATCCCAAGCATCTAATATGTAGTCGACACCAGCAAAGCAAGCACCACTTGGTTGTGGATTAAGTAAATAAAAGAAGATTGCTGATCGATAATTCTAAATATGTTTTCCGATTTAATTAAATTTGAATAAAAACCTACATATCCAATATGTGGTACAAGTGTAGCTTTAGATCTTCCTTCAACTCGAACTGTATCGGATACTTCAATCCATTTGCTAAGTGTATTCTGAGGATCCGTAAAATTAAACAATAATGGACTAGTTGGTTTATTTGATTGAGTCATAGATGTTAATACCATTTGTTTAATTACATCAAATGTTGTTATTCCTAAACCAATACTAAACGAAGCTGTTAGACTTGTGTTCATATGAGCAGCGTATGAAGTATGAAGTGAAAGAATGATAAATGTGATTGCAAGAAGAATATTGTTATACATGATGTCGATTGAGATAAATGAACTAAGATTTCAATATGCTGATGATTGTATTCTGATTGAATCTCTGAAAAGTGGAACAAACATTAAGTTCAGGTAAGTTAAATGAAATTGTGATAATAATTGATTCATATTAACGTAGGAAATTTTATGGAGATTGTAGTATGGTGTTTGCTACTGATATCGATAGATATATACACATATATGCATCCTGTGCTACTATCTACCTTTGCTTAAAACGCTTATGACTTAAAACTATATCGAGGCAATCTGAATAAGAAGCACATATACCAACATGAGATTGATCAATTGTGGTTCTAAATAACAATAGGAAGATACAAGTAAAACAACATCCAGTGAATTCTATTCTTGATCATTAAATCATTGAATCAAACGGATATAGTCAGTCAGTCAGCTACAACGTAGGACCAGGCACATATGTGCATCGGTCCAGGTTGCCATACCTCATTAGCACAGCAAGATGAACACCGGATTCATAGGAGTGGTTAGGTCAAAGGTTGCAATAAGGATATAGTATAAGAAGAAAGAATTAGTTCGTAGACAGAAAGAATGAAGTGATTTTAGTCTCTTAGTTTAAGGGAAGACAGGGAGTGTATACACCGACGCCATTGTGATCGATTCTGAGCCATGTCACCAAGAGTCTCCAACCATTGGTTACGATAGTCACGCGGACCCCAACCAAGTAGTCTGCATCTACCAACATGGCTCAGACTAGAAGTTAGTGACTTCAAGCACTGATGCCACGTTTTGGTTTGGCCGCCCCTAACTTTCTTCCAACCATCCCCTACCCCGGATATAGTTCCGTGAACAATAACCAGATTACGAATGTAAACCATTCATTAAAGGATAATTGTTTCTTTTTCATTACTAGACTTTTTAAACACTTCAAATACACAATCTAACATGAGATCAAACGTTAAACGATTTGATGAAGTTTTATTGTTTCAGATGGATGGTTTAGTCATGGAGTTTTCATCGTTCAACACAAACTTCAGGAAGACTATAGCAACTCACATGCAATTGAGTTTGTTCTCATTTAATTTAGTTAAGCCCTTTTGTTAACTTATTTAGCGGACAAAGTCATCCGTACTATAACAGTTTATGGTATCTTTATTATTGTTGTGCTTGTATGAAATAGGTGTACATTTACGCTCTACACACTCTACACTCTCGGTTCGCTGACTCATTCATTTACCTCTCTGCTATGTGGTCTGAGTTATCTTCTAATAAAACTGCAGTCGCTGTTTCTCTTTGCCTTCTGATTTCAAACACCGTTGAGGATTATATGATAACAGTTACGAGGGTGATTGGTCAACGAAGCACAGTCACTACAAGACTGTTAAGTTATCGGTGTGTATTTTGAGTATTCTATTAAACATTTATACAATTAAAGCATGACAAATTAATGGTAATACTTATAAAATCTACAATAAACATATTGTAAAAGACTAATCTAAGTGAACTATTCAAAGGTATAACTAGAGATTCATTAATGGAAAAAATATCATCATCGATGAATGTTGAAAGATCTCATAAAGATGTAAAGGTGAATATTGAAAAGGTAAGAACTGCATTCCTCCAGTTGAACAACATATGGAACACAAAACAACTGTCAACCAATATCAAAGTCTGAATCTTTAATACGAACGTAAAAATAGTTCCACTGTACGGAACTGAAACGTGAAAAACTACTGCAACCATCATCAAGAAGGTACAAATATTTATAAACAATTGTCTACGCAAGATACTCAAAATTCATTGGCCGGATATCATCAGCAACAGCCTTCTGTAGGAGAAAACAAACCAGTTTCCAGCTAAAGAAGAAATTGGGAAAACACGTTGGAAATGAACAATACGAAAATCATCATACTGAATCACAAGATAAACCTTAATTTGAAATCTTGAAGAGAAACAAAAAAAAAAGATGAGAATCAAAGAACACACACTCTAAGAATTGGAAACAAACATGAAAAGGATCAATAGGAACTGGAAACAACTGGAAAGAATTATCCAGGACACAGTTGGATGGTGAAAGCTGATGAGCAGCCGACGCTCCTCCATGAAGAGTTACATGCGTAATTAAGTAAGTAAGTACGTTAGTAATACGAAATTATAAAATACAAATAAACCAACCTTATTTTAGATAATAAAAATATACTTTTCTTTATTCCAAATTAGTTACCCAGCCGAATATATCTGATCATTTAAGGTTATATATATATATATATATATATATATAAGGTCAATTGAATAGAATTCACTTAAGTACTAACTTCATTATTGGTTTATTCATTAAGTTTTCATACAAAAAGTTTCAATTACTTTATGAAATCATACCATTGAACCAATAGTAACTAATATGAATGACGGTTTTCAACTAAACAATAGAAACTAATCATTATGACATATAATCAACATATTTAGATGTAAAATACACTTGATATTGTTTATATGTATCTTTCTATTATTATGTAAAACTGTCATTGATCAGTCATTTGTTGACATATGTTCATCTTATACAAAGTGCCTCGATATTGTTTGAATTTATAAGCAAAGATGGATGGTTAGTGGTTAGAAGTGTTTTCGTCCTACTTGAGACTCGTCAGTTGGATGTACCTACATCTCAAAGTTGATGTTCAATCTAGAACTCGAACTCAGTATCTTTGGCTTCAAATTCTATCGCGTTATACACTTAGATACTGAGTTCTGATAGCCAACTCTTGAGTTGTAGTCCCAGAGTGTACATCAAGTCTGGGATGCAGGCACATCCAGCTGACGAGTCCGAAATAGGACGAAACGCGCGTCCTGGATTTCACTGCTAGCCACTATCCATCTTTGCACGTAATGCTTATGAATTAAGGCAATCCGCACAGGATGCACATATGTCAATAAAAGACTGATCAATTGCAGTTCTACACAACAATGGGAAGCTTCAAGTAAACAGTACTAAGTGGGTTTATATCGGACACACCTTCATAATCATAAATGATTGATCACTGGGTCGAGTCACCTAGATTGGTGGCCACATTGCAACATGGTCGATATCATTCGATCTGCACTAAATAAGGACTTGACACACATGACATTGATCACCACCCAGTGATCAATCAATTGTGATTACATCTCAGTCCTACAGGAGGTCAATCGCTATCCGGATAGCTCAGTGGTAACGTCTCTAACTGCGAAGCTGGGTGACACGGGATCGACTCCGTCAGGGAGCACCAGTTCCCTCGAGATTACAGGTACACCTTGCTGACGAGTGCCAAGTAGCACGAAACGCGGGTCCAGCGCTTCCTGTCGACTTCCTCAGACCACCATCTAATCTCAACACCTTCATAATATATGACAATTTTCCCAAAACCTGAATTCATTAATATCAGGCAATTAAATCAAACTATCTGATACATATATTTTAGTATCAGAAGGGGTTTTCTCGTAGATATTATAGTAATTTAAACAGTTTGAGATCATGAGTCAATTAACACTAGATCACAATGGAAAATCTGGAAATACTGGATAGCTGTTTCATCCTGTTGTGAGACTCGGATTGTAGGACGTGGATGCGTACTGCTGAAGAGTCCCATAATACGACGGAACGGCCATCCAGTGCTTCCAGGTTTTCCACGGTGGTCTAAAATCAATCCGTTCATAATCTCAACCACTAAAATTACATATATTTTACTTAAATGATAAGTTAATCGTTCATCATTTGCTTTCATATTCAGAGAATATGATAATTATACAGTTTCTCTATGAATAATCTTTTATGAATAGACAATTGATCATCAAAAAAGGAGTAGTTTCTTTTAGCAACAAGTACATACAACTTATTAGTAGATAATGTTATGATCTGTCTTAATACGACCCAGTCAAACTTATTGTTTGGTATACTTGGACACTAATTCACACGATAAGTTCCCATATCAGAACACAGTTGTATTCCAAATAACAAGGATTGATGGAAGTAAGAAACACAATAAGAAGAATGTTAGTATATTTATATGTTTTATATAAAAAGATTCTAGAGTCTTCTCTAAGTATCCGGTAGCATTGATTGTTTAAGAAGTAGTTAATCAGTGTGCCGTGACGTTATTTTATAATCATTCTGAAGTTATTTGATTATTATGTTACATTACTACTCGATTTGCCCCCAAATGCTTTAGTACGGTGTGAGAGTCAGCTCTGTGTCTTTCGAAATGCTCTCACATGACCATGTGTATACAGCCACTGTCAGAGTAGTTTTACTAACTACCTTCTCGCCAATCTAATGATGCACATGAGCTTGAGTATTCTGAAAGAAAAAATGATGTATGAATCAATTATTTGTCACCATCTACTAGGTGACTGAATCTCCTAACGTCACTCCACTGCCCTGAAGACCTCAGACCTTTAGGTCAAATGCTCCAAATGTGACCCCTTTAAGAAAACCACTTGCTTCGGTTTGAGCACCCGAGCAGTATTACATTCCACACACAAATCAAGTGACTTGTATGATGCATATGTATTTGATACCCCCCCCTTTGTATCAATATTTATCTATTCAAATAAACAATGAAAAACTAATTATAAAGAATTTTCTTCGATCTACTAAGTATCTTAATGAAAAACAATTTTCACCATACAGTTACTTATAATTGTAAGATTAAAATCACTAATTTATTGTATCATGGACTTCATTCTTTACCCCCCCCCCCCTTCCCCTCCCCGCTCAATCAATATGATATATATATCATACCCCCCCCCTTTATTGTTTGATCATGTCAAACGAATTCGTTTTACTGACCTTAATCATAACAACTAATAAGATTGTAAACAGTTTCAGGTCAATGTCTTTGATCCATAACATTGTTTATTCAATGGATAAATAAACTAATTCATTAATTGTATATTTATGGTTATGAATTATCCGATCAAATTTATGTATGAATAGAATATGAATGATACATAGAAATCATTGATAAACAGTTCATTCGGTAAATATATATTCTATATAATGGATATAAGTAGTATATAACGCGAGTCAGGAATGTAACGTCTTGATAGCAGAAGATTAGGAAGATCAAGAAAGAAGGAACGGGAATAGAAAGCAATTAGTATAGAAATGCAAAAACAGTGAAGTCCGAGACAATTATTAAACATTTATCATTCCTTTTATGATTCACTATTATTGCCGCAATTTCACGCTTCAGCTCTTCAATCTTCTTCTCGACAATATTTATCTCCCGACTGGAGCTACTGTTCGTGTCATCAGCTGTCGAGTCACCTTCGTTAGTTCACTAACATCCATAGATTGTGCTGCGTTTACTGGTTTAAGCTGCTGGAAAACGGTGGCAGGCACACTCTCGACAAACTACAACGCCAATAAATTTGCCTCCGACTGTTCATCCAGATTCAGCAGCGCACGGCGTAACAACCTGGTAAGCTCCACAGCCAGAACCAGTGGGTCACCATCGACCGACAACCTCACCAACCGGAACTTCTGCAGTGTCTATTCCCCATCCACTGGGTTGTCAAACTCCGCCATCAACCAATCCGTGATTGTCTCCCATGTCGTATTCCCGCCAGCGCCGTCCAAGCTGTTATATACAGCCTTTTGAGCTGCCTATCAGCAGCGCTCCTAGCACCACCACCTTCGCCTTCGGCTCCTTCACTCCCACCAACTCCGCCACGGTCTCTAACTCATTCAGGAAGCTCAGCACATCCCCGTCCTCAGTTTCCTTCGGCCATGGAATCTTCATCCTTAGTGGAGGCACCAACACCAAATGTAGTGAAGGAGATCACAGGTGAGGACAACCGAATTATATTTAGCAGGACATTACAGAGCTACTTGGTAAAATAGAAAAACCATACTATAATACCTAATTTGCAAAATGTTCAATAACTGTCTCGGATATCATTGTTCTTGCATTTCTATACTAATTGCTTTCTATTCCCGTTCTTCCTTTCTTGATCTCAATCTTCTGCTTTCAGACATTACATTCCTGACTCGCGATATACTACTTATATCAATATAAGTAGCACGCACCACAAACCTAGGTTTACCTGTAATCTTGAGGCGACTGATAATCACTGTGTATTTACAAGTGATTGTTCACTGGGTGATGACCACCATTATGTTAGTCCTACAGAAAGTCAGCCATGGACCGGAAAGCTTAATGGTAACGTCCCTGAACGCGAAGCTGGATGACATTGGATTGAATCCGTCAAGGAGAATCAGTCCTTATCAAAATTACAGGTACACCTAGGTTCAGGGTTTCTTGTTGATTACCTTCAATCACCATCATATCTCAACAAAGTGCACGCAATATCGAATCACCTAAACTAGTGGATTCATTGCAACTTGATTGATAGGATTCAATCTGCATTAAGAAGGGCCTAATACACATGACATTGATCACCATCTACTGACTAATCAATTGAAAATAAATTATTGTGATCAACCTACAGTAATTCCTAATAATTAATAACTGCGGTATTCTCCTAGCGCAATGTCCGGATCTACAAAAACTTGATAGACTGAACAACTGCAACGTAACACAAGGAGAATGATCTGATATGTTTAAGAGTATGGTGTATCTATTTCATTCAGCGAACATCAACTCTAAAATGCAGGTGTATCCAGCTGAACAATTCCAAATAGGACGAAACTCGTGTCTTGGATTCCACTGCTAACCGCTATTTATCTTTGCTTAAAAAAGCTTGTGACTTAAGCCTATATCGAGGCAATCCGCATAGGATACATATATGCTAACAAGTGACTGATCAATTGCAGCCCTAAATAACACTGGGAAGATACAAGCAAAACAACACCAAATGAATTTAAACTTCACCCTGTTGCACAAGGATGTGGCTATAAGGACTCAGTAGCTAAGTGGATAACACAATGGCATTGGAAGTGAACAGTACTGAGTTCGAATCCCAGAGTGAACATCAAATCTATGATGCAGGTATATCCAACTGACGAGTCTCAAACGGGACGAAACTCACATCCTGGATTCCACTGCTAACCATTATTCATATTTGCTTAACATCATAATATCTACTAATAATCGATAGATTGTTACTATCTGATAAACTGAATTCAGTTACCATGGTCCAATCGAACTTTATTTGTGTTATTGTTTTATGATTTCACAATCAATCTTATTGACAATTTCAATAGTTTAAGTTATGAGTCGATTGAAGCCAG